AAATAATACTAAGTGCCTTTAAAATAGCTAAAGAGGCAATCTATTAAGTTATAATATTAAAGCCTAAAATTAACAAGAAATCTTAAAAATCTTAACATACTAAACATAATATTAAATCAAATAATTATAATAGTATATAATACTAACCTAACTTTCTATTAATATAAATATATTTTTTGTTTTGTAGCAAGGCTATTATAAAGCATTAACTTAGCTTATCCCATTGGAGTAAATAAAAAAGTTAAATAAGTAATTCTTAGCTTAGAAATTTTTTTAATATATAAAGCTTAAAACAACTAGATCAATCTTTATTAATAATCTCTAATTACTTTAACGCCTAAAAACTATTACAAATTATTACTACTAGTTAATTAATAAGCTGTTTAAAACTATTTAATAGCTCTTTTAATAATAAACTTTTAATTTTTCTTATAAGCAAAAATAATATTATTTATATATATAAAGATTAGCACTCCGTTATAAGTATAGCAATAAAACTTATATAATATAGCTTAATACCCCATTTTTTTAAGTATTAATATAAGCTCTTTCTGCTATAGCAAAAATAACTTTTTTAAGCTATATAAAGCTTTATTAAGCTATAATATAATCTAAAGCTTGCAATAGCCAAAAAACATTTTTATATATATTTTTTTATCAAGCTTTGCATTAATAAACATATTAATAGCATTATATTGCTTTAGTTCGAAATTAAATTTAGTTACTATTACAATAAAAGTTTTAAATAACCTTTTAGCAAAAATTAATACATATATAGTCTTAGTACTAAATTAAAACTGCTAATTACCTCGCACCACTAATTATACCTTACACTTTATATAGTAGCTATGCTTATTAAACTTGTATATATATACCCATATACACCCAAGTATTAGTTTTCTTTTAGTTAAATAAATACTAACCTTAATCTATAACTCTATTTCTTAGTAACCTTTAAAATAATCTTTTTTAGCTCTTTTAAACCTTTTACTTATTAAATAATACTCAAAATTTTTATAAAACTTTAGCAGTAGTAATAGATCTTTTTAATAAATTTTATGCTTTTTGGCAACTTTTTATTTGAAAATCTTCTTATTTTTATTTAGTATATATAGAACTTTTTAATTATAACTTAATTTTTTACTAATAGAATAACTAATAAATTGTTTTAACAATCTGGCTCTTGCAGCCTTACTTATTACTATGCTGTTTTAACTCTCTAAAGCGCTTAAGCGTCCGCTTAAAAACATAGCCTCCTAGTAGCTTTCCTAAAAAGCAATAGTAGCATAAAAAAAGTACTAAATATACCTGCTAGGGCATTAAAATTTATATGTAGTGGTTTAATACTTTCTAATGTTATTCCTCCGGTTCTATAATCTTTAAATTTTGCTATAACATTCCAGGTCTAAAAAACAAAGTCTTTAAATCTAACAAAATTTACTACAATATTCTAAGGTCTTTATAAATCAAAATTTTTAATAGTAGTACCCTTTGATCTATTGGAGTCTATTACAATATTCTAAAGTTTCTAAAAATAAAAGCTATTTATAATAGCTATAAAAAAAACGCTTAGTTATAATAACTCAAAAAGTAAAAAATATAATAAAAAAAAAGCATTTATATAAAGTTAATCAAACTCTATTGCTTTATTTAATACAAAGTATCTATAGGTTATGCTTTCTTTATCTTTTAGTATATTTATAATAGTAATATTATTTTTGCTTTTAATAAAATATATATTTTTTAATTTTTAACTAGCTATAGCTTCTAAAGTACTGCTTAGCTAATTAAATTTAATAATATTTATTTTAAATAGTAATTAAGTAATTTTATTAATTTTTTGCTTAAAAAAATTATTTTTTAGCTTATTAATATTGCTTAAAAATATAGTTTTTTTATTAAATATAACGTTTTTAGTAAATATAACAGTATTAGTTGCTAAAATCTATATATAATATATATTAAAAGATTAGTAGCTTATAAAATAGCTTATCTAGGCCTTAAAATCTAATTTATTAAGTCTTTTTTTTTTAGTTTAACTTTTGCAGTTATTATATATGCCCTGCAGCTATATACATATAAATAGTATAAATCAGGTTAATAGTAAATAGTTACAATACTATCTCGGTTAAAAAAATAAACATAAAACCTTTTGTATAGGCTTTACTATTAATATATCTACCTTAGTATATAATTATATAAATATATAGCAGTTTTTATAATATCAGTCCAAAAAATAATAAATAGCTTAGACCTAGTCCTTATAGCCCTGGCTTTACGTTTAATAATATTGCCAGCCTATTTAGCGCTACTATTCTGACCTTATATATTTAGAGCATATAGCTCGAAGACTATGCTATATTATTATTTAAAATGTTTAGTAAAGTTATTATATTTTAAAAACTTATTATTATACTCGAAAACTTAAATAGTAGTATTATAGTAAGCTTACAAGTATTTTACTAAATTTTTTAAAGCTCTAATCAATATTAGAAATTTCTGATTACATAGGTAATAATTAAAACTAAAGCCAAAATATCAATCTATTATAAATATTAGCAAGTTTTCCAAATTATAACCTTTTCTATAATTATAAAAGTTTATAACTAGTTGTATTCCTAGCTTTACTAGGCAATTTTGAAGTAATTTATTAATTTACTGTTATATTTTTGCTATAGCATACGCCTCGTAGTCTAAAATATATATTTTGTTTTCCAGAGATCGTTGTAGCCTTACCCCTTTAGCCTATACCACTATATAATAAAGGGCATCAGCACTTAAGTGGCCTAAACAAAAATATTACTAATATAAATCAGCTTTTAAAATAAGCCTTAAAATCATTGCTGCTAGTTTATTTCTTTGTATATAAAAAGTACTCCTTTTTATATTAAATAATAAATACTTTAATACAAACTAATAGTCTTAATTTTAAAAACAGCAAAATATTAATCTATTTTATTGTTTTAATACTATTATTGCCAGTTTTGTATCCTAATATAAGCTTTGTTTTAAAAGTACCCAAAATAATACCAAGTTACAAGCTATTGTTAGGCAACAAGCTATATCGTATAATCTTATAATTATAAATCCCTTAGGCCCTTAAACACATATATTAATATTTCCAAATATAAATATAAATATAATCCTGTTTTTTATATATACTTTATTTCCTAGCAATACTATTTATAAATTATTAAATCTACTAATCTTATTAAATATATATAAAGTAGTTCTAAAATTTAAAATAGTTAAATTCTTTAGTTTATATATAGCTTTACCTTCCGACTCTTTACTAATAACAAAAATAAACTATATTAATATTTGTTCTAATTAAGCAAACAATTTATTTTTGTTAGTTTTTGCCTTTTTTTTTTTCTATATATAATTAACAAATTTTTTTAGTTTTTTATTAGCATTAAAATTAGCCTATATTAGCCTAGCAATAATTTGGCTAAAATAAAAATTATTTAGAACTAACTCTAAAAAAAAATAATAATATCCTATTATATAATAAAAGCCCAAACAGCCTTTACAAACATAATTATTTAAACTATAAGTTCGTAAATTAACGCAAAATTGTTTATTATTGCCTTTATTGTTTTTATTACCACAGGGTCCGCGGCCACCTCAACCTCAGCCTTTACCTCTGCTTTAAAAAAAAACTTATTAATTATTAAAAAATATTTCTACTCCTTTAGCATTATCTATAGCATTTCTAGCACCTTTACTGTTATATAGTACTAAAAACGCCTTTTTATTAATACATATGTTTAGCTAATACATAATTATTCGGCAACTTGCCTCACTCCTTAAATTAGCTGCTATTTTTTAATAAGTTAATATATTATTAAGGATTACTAATTAATTAATTATCTAAAAAATAATAATCTAGTTCTTAAGAACTTTTCCGAAACATATTTCTAGGTCTATTATCAAATAATTAATATTATTTAGTTCAGTAACTTTATATTTAAAAACAACAAAAATTATAGCCTCCTAATATATTACTTATATGCTAAAGTCCTTTAGTAGCTTATTTATCTCCTTTATATATTATTAATATTAAGCCTTTGCTTATAGTTATTATATTACCCCTAAATATTAGCCAAAATCTCTAAGTCTATCATACTATTTATTGATAATATCGGTAAGTTAGAAAATAATCCTTATATAATCTAAAAAAACAGTTTTAATTATCTACGCTATAAAATTAGTAATATATTTTTAGTAAATCTTATAGTTTTTTTTTATTGCAATATATTAACTCCAGTTAATTTAGTAAGCCTTTTTGCCATCTTTCGTCATCTCAAAAATACTTATAGGTTTGCTATTTGGGTTAATTTCTTTGTTTTAAAAAATAACAATCGATTAAAAACATATTAATTAGTTAGTTATACGTTTAAAATAGTCCTTAAATTCGGGTATCTTTAGTAATAGCATCCATAGTATTTGTTTTTCTAGTTAAAAGTATTCCCATAAATTAAAAAATACCACTTTCGCAATAAACACCTTGTTCTAGAATATATAATCCTTTAGCTTGGCCAATAAGGCCTTATTAATTACTAATAAAGCTATAATATTATTCAGTTGCTTATATTAGCCTTTAAGAAATAATATTCTTATAAAATAAAACTCTTAATTATTAGATATAAGCAAGTCCAATTAAATAATTGTATTAATAATTATTACTAATTTCTCCTGTTCTATGTTCTATTGCAAAGTTTTCTGCATGCCATATAAATTAGGTGTGTATAAAGAATCTATTTAACGGGGTTCCAAAAGATAGCTAATTTACCCTATCAAATCTGACAAATGTGACCTTTTATCTGTAGTTAATTAATAACTACAAACCATCGCTGCGAAGTCAGTCTATCTGAATTATTTTTGCCTAGAAGGAGAGAGACAATTGAGCACACCGGAATTTGCCTTTAGGTGTGGACAAGAAGGAGGAGTGACTATCATACCAAGATTTGGTGTGCACTAGAAAAAAAAGAGAACATTGGACGAACGGGGAATCGAACCCCGGACCCCTCCCAGTCACCTCTTCTGAATTTCAGATATGCGAAGGGAGTATTATACCCCTAAACCATCCGCCCGTTCTAATGGCGATGCTGGTTTATTACCACATCATATTCGACAACGCTTAGAATCAATCACATGTAGAAATTCGTAAGACTTGATTGAGACTCCATAACGAGATGATGGCGCATTCAGAGTTCATTCTAGGAGACAAATAACAATTGTGACATGGCCCTATTGTCAAAACCATTTAAGATCAAAAGATTTATGCTATGCAGAGGTAGAAGGAAATCACAACTGTGCTGTAAATAAGTACCTAGAAGGAGTGGGCAGGTCCATTTGGGTGTAAAGATTGGGGAAGTCACGGTCAGATTCCCACTATATTTAGCTGGCAGGCTTACTCTGAGGTACAAGCTCGCCAATCTCGGGCGCTATAATATAGTAGGTAGTATAGCGCTATCTGCAGATAGAGTTTAGGCATCTTGGTCCCTATTCCAGCGGGCTGCGACGCTGACCTACTTATTCAGCATGGTTCTCCCTGCCTGTCACATCTCGTCGATCGCCGGCCCATTTCTTGGCTTCGTATTACTAAGTATGTGTGCACTCCAACATAAACATGCCCTGTTTGTCTTAGACCCCGGAATACGGTGCCAGACTATTTTTTATCCACGACGCTCATAAATAATACCTAGTGTAATCATACCTACCTTACCCTGCATCGATGCGCCGGCACCATTCATCTGGCAGCATCCGACACGGCGGCACTGTGGGAGGGACGAGCACCCACATATCGCGCTTGACGGGATCCATCAGCAACCAGGCTCGGGTAACACAGGACCTCTGCCCATGCTCGCCGAAGATGTGGCATGGCAGATTCGAGACAAGCCCTTCGACGCCATGACCCCCCTCCTCCGTCGCAAGTCGCGGGTGCTTGTCGCGCTGCTGCTGGTCCTCCTCGTGTACCTGCTGGCCGGCCTCGTGCCCGAGAACAGCGACGTGCTCTGGGGGTTCACCTACGTCCACGACCGCTACGACTGGTCCAAACAGAAGCTATTCTACCCCGTATCCGAATACACCCCTTTGCCGACCGGCCCGCCCCAATCGTTGCCCCCAGTCCAATATGCGTTCGAGGAAGACAAGAGTCCCGCGGGCGTCGCGCGGGAGGCCGTCCTAGCATCGCGGCGCAGCGAGGTGAAGGCAGCCTTTGTGAAGAGTTGGACCAGCTACAAGAACGTCGGCTTCGGGTATGACGAGCTTCTGCCCGTGTCTGGAGGGGGGCATGACGCGGCTGGCTTTGGCGGATGGGGAGCCACCCTCGTCGATTCCTTGTCAACGCTTTGGATAATGGACCTCAAGGACGACTTCTACGAAGCCGCCGCCGCCGCCGTCACCATAGACTATTCCAAGACACGGGACACGTCCTGTAACTATTTCGAAACCACCATTCGACACCTCGGCGGCTTGCTCAGCGCCTACGACTTGAGCAGGGAGACGGCATTGCTGGAGAAGGCCGTCGAGCTTGGTGACATGCTCTATATGGCATATGATACCCCGAATCGCATGCCTGGCTTCTGGTTGGACTTTCAGGATGCCAAGACGGGGAAACAGGTGGCTGGGACTCACGATCCGTCCGCCGCTGTTGCATCGTCGTCTCTGGAGTTCACCCGCCTGACGCAGCTGACTGGCGATAACAAGTATTATGACGCAATAAGTAGAGTAACACAAGTGCTGGACGAATGGCAGAACAAGACAAATCTGCCTGGAATGTGGCCAACCTATTTCGACCTGCAACGCATAGAGTTAGATTCAGACAGCAGCTTCACGTTGGGTGCAGCCGCTGATAGCCTTTATGAATATCATCCCAAAACATTCGCCATACTCGGTGGCCTCGAGCCGGTGTACGAAAAACTGTACCGCGGGGCGATGGACACAGTGATCAACAACATACTATTTCGGCCTAAGCTGCCCGATCAAGCCGATATCCTATTTTCGGGCAACGTCTGGGTCTCGGATCAGGGTCCCCGTCTCACCGCCCAATCCCAACATCTCTGCTGCTTCGTTGGTGGCATGTTTGGGCTCGGCGGAAAGCTTTTTCGGATCCCAGAGCACGTCACAATCGGCGAAAAGATCACGAAAGGTTGCGTGTGGGCATACGACGCCATGCCGGCCGGTATCATGCCCGAGGTCTTCAGCCTGATCAAATGCGAGAGCTTGGAACCGTGCGAGTGGGACCAGGAAGAATGGGAGATTGTCGGCAATACAAACCTGAAAGAGGGGATCAAGAGCGTGCCAGATCCCCGTTATCTCCTGAGACCCGAGGCTATCGAGAGCGTATTCCTCATGTACCGTATGACGGGGAACAGCGAGTATCAGGAGATGGCATGGAGAATGTTCCAGGCGATTCGCAAGGCCACCGAGACCGACCTGGCGTTTTCGTCGATTCAGTCTGTTAAGGTGACTGACACGGTGAAGACTGATTCGATGGAGGTGAGTAAATTCCCATGCGGATCTACGCATACACCGCTTGTGACCACTGGTTGACGAACTGATGTGTAGAGTTTCTGGCTGGCCGAGACTCTTCGATATTTTTACCTGATATTCTCATCACCCGATCTGATACACTTGGACGAGTTCGTCCTTAATACAGAAGCCCATCCACTTCGGCGGCCGATCCCCTGAGTCGTAATAATTGAATGCATTAGGAGTACGCCCCAAGCGAATTGATTGAATGCCGGCAAGAGGGGGACAGGTACGCCGAATCACTGAACAATCTAATGAATAATGATGCATAGAATGGCGTTGGATCACATTGCACGTCCCGCAGCTTCTACCTACATATATTGATCGCAGTCTATACAACCCTTTATACAACTAAAGCTATATGTGTCTTGTGTCTGTACGTATTATTGACTGAGCCTAAAATGGGTTATCATGGTAGCAGGGAAGCACATTGCTCGTCATGCCCTGTATATTGAGAACTAGGAAATGATGGCTCGAGGCTAACCGGCACGGAGAGCTGTTCGTCGGGACGCACGAAATCGCTCGAAACGGGTCCCGGTTGGTTTCTTCCATCTGCGCAACCGTAAGCCGTGTCGACGAATTCATGTATAGAGTATCAGCGGCGTCCGAGACACATTTCATATATCGTGAAGCGCTGTGGCCTAATAATCCACAATAATGCGCACGGAGTTGAGAGGTGCAGAGAGCACCCAAGTATCAGAAGGCGAGTAAACTCCAGTCGAGAAGACAGGATAAAGCAATGTCGCGCCATACCAATAACGTTATTGATAGTTTCACCCCTGGGACTCGCTTGCTCATTCGAACCTGCCGATGGATTTGCGTGTAAAGTTCCCAGCACCCCAACTGGATCGACAAGCTTGTTCTGTCAATACAGTAAGTGGTCGAGGGGCAATTGGTTGAGAGATCGAACGACGGGGGGCATTTCCGTTCTCCCCTTCCCCTGCCTCCCGTCAGACGCTTATTGGACTCCCCTGGCAAACAGAGTAAAAAACCAGCTGTGCCGCACGGCTACAGTTCCCGAAAGCATGGCGAACTTAGGAGCCTTTTCATGCCCTCCTCGTTAATGGGGCGGTGCCTGCTGTGGAACGTCGGTTGCGAAGGCTGGAAAAGCATCATGTCATGTCGTGCCATACCACGCAGTCTAGTCTTCCCTCGACGCCAATGCCGCGGTAGTGCGCAATGGCTGGTTTCTCTCGCGGTTTTGTCTATTTCGTAGTGGTGGCGTCGTTGGATGGATATCGGAAATAGAAAGTGAGGCTAAGTATGCACGTGGCTTTGCCTATACCATAAACGTCCAGGGAACGCTGCGCTTCAACGGCTTCATCAAGTCTCGGTATCTACGACCCGAAATCATCCCACTGTCGTACTAGAAGAGTCGATTGGCTTCGATAACCACCGAGTTAGCGTAGCAGGAGGTTTGTTTGTATGCGAATCTTAACCACTGTCCTGGGTCCGTCTCATGCCAAGCCTCACGGCCACATCTCTCTATCTGATCGGAGAATCCCAGCGAAGATCTGACCATAATCGAATGGTAGTGTGATGTAAAATCGGAAGAAAATATGACGAGCAGGAATGCCTGCCGCTCCGCACCGGCTTCGACGCTATAGAAGTTTCTTGCATACACTATTCATACTATTAATACGCTAGGGACATAGCGTGAAGTCCGCGATTCACTTGCTTCCCTCTATACTCAATCGTCATCTGTAGGCTAACCTACAGTACACTAGACAGCTCGCAGGATCGTGTACCCGGACGCGGTCGGCCGGGCGGGACCGAGAGCAGGGTGGAAGGACCCTTTTGAGACAAGGGAAATCCTGGACATTTGGTGTGCGTTTCTAACTCGTGGTTCTGCTCATGGCCTGGATTCTTCGGCGCAGGAGTCAGGATTCCTCCTTCATTACGGCGTACCCCTATGCCAATGCGTGTAAGTCGCGTGGCGGCCCGGTCGTCTGAGCGTTAGTAAGTCAATCACTCATCGTCCGGCAACATCAACGGGGAGGGGCGGCAGGATAATTCCGTGTCCATCTGATTATAGTCTAGTTAGTATGAGATTAGGTTCTGACCGTTTTAAAGAAAGAGAAAAAAATAGAAACTTAACTTCTTGAGTCGAACGGACCTATATTTCTTTCCCTATCATCTATACTATACCAGGTACATTAGGTAGATAGCTGACACCCCCCCCCCCCCCCCCCCATCCACGTGCAAACTATTTGCAGGTCAGCTCGATCGGACCCCCATCCTGTGAGATCGCTTCCAACTGCCAAATCTACCCTATTCATAGGACGGGACCCTGGGCTATCAATGCAAGGTACCCGGCCGATTGCGCGTTGCATCGGGGTGTCTAAGCATCTCAAACTAAATATCCATGGCATTCTTCCCCATAAATGTCATGACCCGCAGTAGTGAGGTTTTTATAGGAAACGATGATGTCGACGTTCAAGAGCTAACTGGAACCAGGTAGTTGGTAAATCTAGCATAATTCAATACCAATCGCTATGTATACAGTCAGTCCGTACGTAGTATATTTGAAACTGGGCTTGCCGCAATGATGCGTCAT